TCGGTTATCAGCGTTCAAGTATAAAGAATTATCGTATCGGCCAAAATGTTCATATCTGTGCATCCCTAGTTTTTAGTACATCGTTGTCGTGTAAAACCTTAGAAGATTCTTAACCTGTAGAGAAGGTAAAGTCTGTGCTTACCGAATCAGCAGTTTGATAAAAACACGCTTGTAATGAGCAGTAAATCCAGCGACATCAGAGAAATAATGATGTATTTGTGTTTGGACTCGTGCAGGTGGTGCGAGCGAAAGAGCGTCTGGATGAAGAGCTCAGCATTCAAGAGCAGGGCCAGAAGAAACCTCCAGAGCAGCAGCAGACATGATCTCCATCCTCACGTCCTCCCACTGTAATTATCACCCAATAAAGCCTCTTCTTTTTCTACATCCAAATGTCAATCGTTTCTTTATCCATCCGTCAAGAGTGGATGAGTATTTTCTGGACGTTGCGTGATGGAATGAAGGAAATTCATCCGGAATGTTCTTGAGTTCTAGAATGTTGGATCAGGGATTTGTTGGACTTCAGCCATGGAACTTTTCAACGTATTAAAATATGTACACTTACTGTTCAAGATTTTGGGGGGCCGTACAATGTTATGTTTTTGAAAGAAGTCTCTTATGCTCACCAAGGCGAAAATACAGTAAAAAAGTTGTGAAATATTACAATTTACCTTTTTTATTGTAATTTATTTTCATTTATTCCTGTGATCAAAGCTGTATTTTCAGCATCATTACTCCAGTCTTCAGTGTCACATGATCCTTCAGAAATCATTCTGATATGATGATCTGATGCTCAAGAAACATTTCTGATTATTATCGATGTTGAAAACAGTTGCGCTGCTATACTTTTTTCATGATTCTTCGATGTGTAGAAAGTTCAAAAGAACAGCATTTGTTTGAAATAGAAATCTTTTGTAACATTATAAATGTCTTTACTGTCACTTTTGATCAATTTAATGCATCCTTGCTGAATAACATGATCTATTCATCCATCTGTTCATGTTTAACGGAGTGATCTGAATTCGATACAAGGTGAGCTGTTTCAACAACATTTCTGGCTTGATTTTAGATTACCACAAAAGGTCATTTAAAACTGTGTAAAACGAGTCATCTTCACTGTAATTCAACACTTGAAGTCTACAGGTCAAAACCTTTTGGATTTTAAAAGCAGTTGTGGATGAATGAACTCATTGTATGTGACTGAAATAATTTACTGAGTGGATTTTTCATCAGTAAAATGACCATCTGCTTCCAGCTATGAAAGATTGGCCAGACAAGGTTAGTAAGTGATTTTATTACACTTATGATAACACATGTCGTGGATGTACTTGTGAAACATTCTTTTAGTTTTTTATCGCCATGTACCATCTTGCTCCTAGACATCAGCTGTGTTCATTCAAGCAGGAATATTGTAAGAGTCACACCAGAAATACTGTCAGTGTGAAGCAATATACAACATGTGTTGCCATTCGAGTGATTAATGAAATCTGGGAATGTTAGATTATCCTTGCTGGTTGGTTGACGCATATTACTGTAAAACACACACACATATATATATAATATATATACTCAACGTCTCATCTGAGGTCGTGAGTTAAGACCCTAATCTGAGTTAATACTGTAAACATTTCAGCTTTCTGTACACGGATGTCCCACACAAAAAAGACACAGCAAAACACAATATGTATGTATATATATATATCAAATGCAAATTTATTAAACATTTGTTTCTTTTATTTTCATTGACATCCTTATCAATATCGTAATAAAATTCCTCTAAAACAGGAGCACACACACCTATGTTGTACCAACTGGAGACTTTTACAGCTCTAAAATTCTGCATGTTCGGCTTCAGAACATGATGCTGGGAAAAATATATATTTATTTATTTATATATATATTTATTTTCATATACTGTATTACATCTACATTTCAACTATAATAAAAGGCACTTGAAAAAAAAATTAAAATACTGATATACAAAAAATGTGCAAAAAAGGAAGAAAAAAAATACAAATGGATACTGGCCTTTCAAGGCCATAGTCTTTTTGTTAACCCTTTGTGCATCTCTGCGTCAAGAATTGTGAAACTATTATTAGTTTACTTTAGGAACAGACAAACTTCTTTACCTCTTGTGAGCTGGTTTTTATTTCATTTTATTTTTTTACTTATTCTAACATGGTGCTTAGTTTATGTACCGTGTTTATTTTCATTTTTTGTACATCATTTGTGTTTTACTGCATTTAATATTTAAATTTGAATATCTGGCTATGACGTCATCCCTGCCATTGAATGTATTGCTTAAGTCTCTCACATACAATTGTAGTATAACGGGAACGCACCATCATTTTATCAAGGCCTTTGGAGTCTCTTGTGAGAAACAGTGCTTCCGTCTTCAGAGTGCTCAAAGGGTTAAAGGTTCAAACAGCTTATCTGATATTGAACACTGATGTAGACCTTAACAGGTCTGTGTCAGTATCAGCTTTCTCCAGACAACAACATGAAAGGAGGGAGTAGGAGAAGGTGGACAAAGAGATTTCCAGCTTGTTGGAAAGATGCAAGGGTTTATAAACATGTCATTTCCGTTGAACCGTCCTAAATGCACGCTGATGTCAAAGCTCTGCAAACCTGAGAGGATTGTGTTCGATTACTGCACGTGGTTTAAATGTGACGGTTTTTGACTCAAACCCTTCCTGCAATCTAATCTATCACCTCCTCCTGTCATTTCTCCGTCGTTCCTCTCAATTCATCAGCTGGAGAAAGCTGAACATAGAGTAGCGATAGCAGAAACGAAGACATAAAGCAACTTCAACATCAGGAAATGTCACGTCCAAAAAAAAAAAAAGTCAGTAAAACAAAACAGCATTAATTGTATAGTTTCCACAAACAATAAAACAAAATAATTATGGAATAAGACTCTTGAGTGTAAAAATGGTTGGGAGAGGAGGGTGGGGTGCATGCTTTAAGGAAGTGTGATTATTTCATTCGGAATGTTTTTACATTCGTTTGTTTTCTAAAACTGTTTTTTTTTTTTTTCTGGGAATCTATGTGGGGGATAATGGCTGTTATTGAAGGATGCTTTAACTATGTCATCTCTGTTACAGAGGACAGAGACTGTTACGTGCCTGAGTTCAGGTGAGAAGACTTGATCAAGAGTGTTATTTTAATCTGGATGAGGTCTTAATGGCGACAGGCTGATCATTAGTGAAGGATGACAATGACTGCATTAAGTCTCTCTCACTTGACCCACTTCAGGAATTCAATGCACCTCTCAACACAAGCATCAGGACATTGCAGATAGCGTCACAGAAGGGTGATTTTGCTTTTTATTAATTCATATAGAATATGAATACATGCCTTAAAGGTTGTGTTGTATAACTTGATGTTTCTAGATTTGCACCGAATCAGTTTTGAGTTTTCATTTTCAGTTTGTATGATGCACAAAATAACACATGCAACTGGGGGAAATCTGAAACAAATGGGGTCAAATGTGAAAACGTAGTTCTTGGAGCATTGCCTTAGTTAGAACATGTGTGCAATGTGACGTCAGGAGTTACACTGAAACTTGACGCTTTGCACAACAGAGATCGATCCATTGGAGAAAGTTGATGTGGGTCATGTGAAAGGGTCTTAAATCAAAATGCTATCTTTTGGACACCTGAATAGTGTTTTCTGCACTTTATTATTAAGCCTCTACTTCAATCTCTGGGTATACGTTTAGATTTTTAGCACAGTGATTTAATATGGGACAAACCATGAAAGCAAAGTTCTGTTAAACAAACTTAGGCCCTTAACTGTTGCGATACACCCAAACTGGTGTATTGCAAGTGTCAATGTGTTCATTGGGTTGTGGCTAGCTGTTATTTTAAACATCCCACTATTCTGCGTCAGCCAAAGGTTCTTCGTTTTACCCTGCCAAGCTAGTATACTGCAAAGCAGGATAATACTGTTAAATCTAGCCCTTTGTTCAGCTAGTAGTGTGCAGTACATTTGATGACCAGAAGATGGCACTATTTACAACAATGCCATGTCCTATGGGGCGTTAGCATAACTGCTGGGTGAGTTTGTGCCCTTGTATGACTTAAAACTCAGTCAGTCTGAGCCCTGTGTCTGTAGATTTCTTATTCAACAAAATAGAGCTAGTCAAGGTTTTCTATTTCCTCCTCCTCAGAGGACAGATTGTCGTACATACTTGTCTATTTTTATTCAATGATGTATGCTTACAATGCAGTGACACAGCTAGCAGCAAATGCAAGGTTCGTCATATAGCTTGCAACAGCATTGAGCTAAGGAAGTTCACTTGCAAGGGATGCAGATGGTGCCTGCGGACTGAGGTGGGACTTGGGACAGTCCGAAGCAGGACGGTACCAAGTGTACAATCCTGCTCCTGGAGGGCCACCTTGCAGGAGAATTTAGCTCTAGCCCTAATTAAACACACCTTAACCAGCTACTCAGTGTCTTTAGGATAAACTAGAACTTCCAGTCAGGTGTGTTGGAGATCAATTCTGCAGGAAAGTGACATTCCAGGAAAAGGATTGGTCTGAAGGGTACAACAGATGCTGATTGTTGGCAATTGAACGAGCTGCTCTCGTTTGACCTACGACCTCAGCACCTCTTTGCAAACCCATATGAGTTAGCCTCAAAGATCTCTAGCTTGCTAAGCTTAGAGGTCTTATTGTAATGCACGGAATGGCTTGAAAAAAACATAGCATACATTTGTGTCTTTAGTGTGTTGCGTACACTGTCGTCCAAAAGTTTCTCTTACACATAAATACACAAAAAATGTCTCTTGAAGCAAGGGCACAGATTCTCAAGTCTGCTGTTTAGATCAGTGCTCTCATAAAAAATAAAACAAAGTGTATAAGACTTGGGGTGTCCAATCCTGCTTCTGGAGGGCCATCTTCCTGCAGAGTTTGGACCAAGGGTGGGCAACTTTGGCCCTTGAGGTCCACTGTCCTGCAGAGATTAGCTCCATCCCTGATCAAACTCACCTGACAAATTTTTGTGTAGGTTGTTCAGGTGTGTTTGGTTAGGGTTGGAACTAAATCTGCAGGAGAGTGGACCTCGAGGGCCATAATTGTCCACCTCTGGTTTAACCCCAACCATAATCAAACACACCTGAATTAACTGACCAATTAATCTAGGTCATCGGGATTACTTGAAACTTCCAATCAGGTGTGTTGAAACAGGTTGGAGCTAAACTCTCCAGGAAGCTGGCCCTCCCGTAGCAGGATTTGATACCCCTAACCCCTGGCAATAAAATAAACCAGATTGAGAATGAAATGGAGGTGAATGTTTGGCCTCTTTCCGAACTGTTAAGCTGATTTATTTTGCTCGTTATTACCACAAGAAACAGGTAGCCGTGTCTGTCTGAAAGGTAGAAATTAGAACCGAAATAGTACTAAAAGTTGAAGAAGAGGGCGTCACCTCCATGCAGAACTGAATTTGCTTTGTGAAAATCCCCCTCAGGCTTGGCTCTGACCTCTGACCCCTGTTCCACCCCCACCCTTCCCCTGCCGTTCTTCTGGAATGTCATGCTCAGTTGACCACAGCTGGCTTCAGCACCACCTGGCCAGAGGGGATGACAACCCAAGACAGGGGGTCGTGGGACACTCCCGTAGACAGGTTGAGCACGCCACTGTGGATCTCGTTCTCGCCTTCCTCGCCCCTGGTCTTGCCCTTGGCATGGTCCCTGCGCTCCGAGCCCAAAATGGGAACCATGGGCAACCCCAGGGTGGAAGATGAGAAGGTATGAGACAGCAATGGTGACTTGGCTAGGCCAAGTGGGGAACCGCTGAAGGACAGAATGGGCGTCCCCCCAAGCCCAGCTGAAGGGGAGCTCGGGCAGCCCAGCGTGCTCAAGTCCAAGGGGCGGGGACTGAGGGGGGACAAGGGGAGGGAGCCTCCAAGACCCTGCAGACCGTGACCACCCAAAAGAGCAGCGGCAGCACCAGGAATGATGATGTGGGCCCCGCTGATGTAAGTCAGCTCAGATTCTTTCCCCACCCCAGCGATCGGCCCTGGCTTCATCAAGGAGCCCACCCCACCCGGACCTCCTTGATCCTGGGCTACAAAGTGCCCATGAGCTTTGATATGCTTCCTCAAGGAGCTGGGGTCCGTGTAGCGTTTCAAGCAGCCCACCATCTTGCAGTAGTAGGGCTTGTCCACATAGTGTGTGCGTGTGTGTTTGAACCGGTCACTGGAATTGGAGTAGCGCTTGTTGCAGCCCTCGTAAGGACAGATGTAGGGCTTCTCTCCTGAAATACAAGCACCAAGTTAGCCAGGTCATGCAATCTTCATGTACTATCTATACATTTATCTTGGCACTGACCTGTGTGTGAGCGGTTGTGAATCTTGAGGTTCTCCAGTCGGGAGAAGCTCTTGTTGCAAGTTGGACAACGGTGAGGTTTTTCATTGGTGTGAGTGCGGATGTGGATCAGCATCTTGTACCTAATGAGGCAGACATTAGACTTAAGGGTACGTGTTATGTGAAACTTAAAATTGGCTGCAGTTGCAACATTTTCCTTTCCAAGGAAATGAACCTAAAGAATTGCTTATATGGTTAGTATTTTAAAAAACTAAAAAAGACTTGTATTGGTCCACAAAAAATATGTTTGACTTGATCTTTGACCTGTTGTTCTGTAAAACATTTAAAAAATCCCTGAAATAAGATTTAGTAGATATTCAATATTCATCAAGAATAGGACTTTTTTGCAGTGTTGTGTATGGTGCATGTGTGGTGCCTGTTGGCGAGTCCCTATATAAAGAGTTTTCAGCCTGCATAGACACCAACTACCAAGGGGGCACCAAACAGCATGTAAGACCCCCCAGAATGCAGATTTATTTGTGTAGGACACCCATTTGGCCAGCAGCAGCCCTGGTGGTGGGAGAAGTTGGTGCTCTAAAGTTGCACTTTCTTATAGTGACCATTTGACTTTCTTTTTATTTGCAAATATAAAATAAAAATTGTACTTCCTTTTATTTTTTTTATTAGTGTATTTAAATGTTCATTTAGTTTAAATATGCATGGTTCCTTTTAGTTTCATGAATATTAAGGGTTACTTTGTGATCTTATAATTTAAAAGGCAAATTTGGTGTTTAAAATGTAAATATAATTGTCATTAGAAACAACAACAGTTTGTTTATTTTTCAGCATGTTTTATAATACAAAGTGTTTATTTAATGCGTTTCATTTAAATGTTTTATTTATACTGTATTAACACTGTATATCATGATCACCAATCACCAATTATCATGAAATTAGATTACTATTGTATTTAGGGTAAAGCTACACACCTGGCGTTGAATCCCCGTCCTTTGCGTGCACACCCCTCCCAGTGGCAACAGTACCCAGAATCCTTCTCAGGCTTCACATGGAAGTCGTTGACATGATCCACCAGGTCTTGCAAGGAGTCAAAAAGTAGGTGGCACTGTGACATGAAAAAATATGCACAATGAGCTCGGGTAAAAAATACACTTTAGTATCTGCATTAAACTGCTTCAATTTCTCACCTTCCTCCAGCGACAGGCCAGCTGTTCATCTGCGGAGAGGTCTGGAGAAGCTCTTGTGTCCCTGGGCTGCCGAATGAACATGGAGGAAGGCAGGTGAAGCCCTCCTCCTCCTCCAATGGGCACAAAGAACTGGAACGCTTGAGATGTGGCTCCTCCCTCCACATAACGGATATGAGCCGAGTCCTGCGGGAACCAAACGAGAAAAGGCAAACATAATTCAAACCTCTTTATCGTTTTTACAGCAGGACAGTGAATCTAGTAATAGTTGTTAAACTGACAGTAACAGGAGCTACAGGAGGTCCGTGTTCTGTAATTGTCCTCACAGCAGGAGATTCTTATGAGCGTTTTGGCGGGATGTGGCAGCGCGTTGTCTTCGTGTTTCTGCCCCCAGCTGTGCTGATCTGAACACTATGCTCAACCACAAATTTTAGACTTTATTGAGAGAAGCGAGATGGCAAGCCACCAATACTAAAGAATAATACATAGAGCTTTATTTTGCACAATTGCTCCCTTAGGGTGCTTTTACGCTGGCAGTTTAGTTTGAAACGCATTAAACGTTTAGTTTCGCATCAAAAACTGGTAATGTGAAAGCTGTCATGCGGACCCGGGAGAGCCCTGGGGTACTGAACCCAAGACTACCTGTAGGAGGTGGTCTGAGATCGGTTGCACTCGAACTGTGGCTCGGCCGTGTGAATGTGAAAGCAACTCGGACTTGGGTGCGCACTTGTTCAGGAAGTAAAGTAACCTGTGTGTGCATGCGTTTTAGCCGATGATATTAGCCGACATCCTTAGTTCAACAAAACACACGTACGGAATACAGTGGTGATGATTTACCTTGGATACAATTGAGAGTGAGTCTGCAGTGTAATTATATATATATAACCTGGCGTTATCCGGCATGGGAGGCAGGCACGCTAACAAGGACATTAAATACCGCAGTCTCTAGCGTCTGTCGCTAGTGCCCCTCTTGAGATCAGGGGAGTGAGGTTTACCCAAACAGCTCTCACCCCCCCCTAAACCTCCTAAACCTAAACTCGACCCGCTCTGAGTGGGATTCGAACCTGGCGTCTCTGACATGGGAGGCAGGCACGCTAACAAGGACATTAAATACCGCAGTCTCTAGCGTCTGTCGCTAGTGCCCCTCTTGAGATCAGGGGAGTGAGGTTTACCCAAACAAACAAAACTCTCACCCCCCCCCCAAACCTCACTCCCATGTGGGTCACGGCACCAATTGTAAATGGTTCTACTCGACCCGCTCTGAGTGGGATTCGAACCGGTATCTCTGACATGGGAGGCGGGCATGTTAACAAGGACGCTAAAGACCAGAGTCTCTAGCGTCTGTCGCTATTGCCCCTCTTGGGACCAGGGAAGTCCCGCCTTCAAGACGTGATCATTTTGTTCTCTTCAGCTTTATTTGCAAATGTTTTATGCGATATTCCAATTTTGCGCACAAGTTAAGTTTGCAACTTTGAATGGAAACAGCTTATGGCACAAACGTGCTATATGAGTTGGCAAAGCTTAATGCTTAGTGTTAGGGATGTGTTCATATTTCTCACCATATGTGTAACCAATAGTAATAGTGATGCTTAGGAAGGGTTAATTAGAGGAGAAACAATGAGGACTTTGACTGCACAACAGTGTAGTTGCTGTCTGGGAAGGTTTCAGCTATGTGAGAAATGTGCATAGAGAATTGTGTAAAATGAGGCTGATTGCTCTGCTCTTCGGTGGTGCCATCATCTAAGACCTGGCCACTGTTCATCCAATGGCCTGAAGGAGGGGTTGCAGGCATCGGAGACACACATAGGCACAAAAAGCCATGCATCTCGTTCCCAATTCAATTTTGAGCGAATTGAATTAAGCAGAAAGAGCTCTGTGTGGCTGTACCTCGCTGTAAATCTGATTTAACCTCGCGTCCCAGCCGTCAGCCCCACGGACAGAGAAAGAGAGACACCTTTGTGAAGGGTCACAGGGGGCATTTGATAAGAAACAACACCACATCTGGGTCAGCGAGGGTAACAGATCTGAATGTCTCATGTTGAGGGGAGGTGGAGGACGGGCCGGTGCATGTAATGCGCTTTAATGCTAATGCCCCAAATGGAAACACCATCAGAACTGAGTCTTTGGCTGCTTCTTAGCCTCTAATGTTGCTCCTCACCTCCGCTGATTTGCTTAATGAGCAAGATATCTCATTTAAAAAGTAGGAAACCTAGTCTAAAGCTAATTATAGTACACTTAAAGGGACACAGGAAAAAAAAAAACATAGTTAATAAGTTTTTTCATCTTGTATTTAAGTTCAAATATCTACAAATCCTTAAAACAAGACACATGTAAGATTGCATTTGAAGAGAACTTATTTTTGACATGAAGTATTTTGAAATGGTATAAATGTCTTTGCTGTCACTTTTTTTATTTTATCTGGACAAAAAGTCAAAAACCCTGGTTAAAAACCTACAGTATGAAGTCATATTTTCAAATGGTCTGCAGCGTACAATCCAAAATGTCACTTTAACGGATCAGAAAACTGAAGCTAGGTTTTGGCTTGCATTAATAGTACTAGTATATTTAGACTTGAGTAGCCATGTTGTGCTCTTCCCTAGTGTTGTCGACTTACCCCGTGGAAAATGTGAGCTGAGCCGTTCCCATTGGAAAGATCCGGAGAGCAGGCGGGGTTGCGGGCGGACGGGGACATGCTGAGGTCCACGGCGGGCGGTGTGGGGGTCTCGGACTTGTCCTGCAGGACACCTGCAAACACACATCTCTGTTAAACTCCCTGCACTTATGTTTTGTTATATTATATGGAATCTCTCTGTGTTTACCTGTGTGTGGGGAGGCAGGAGACGCTGGAATGATGACTGCGGTACCGTCGTCTGCCATCCGCAGCTGCCCGGCCCCCCTGGCGTGTATGGGAGAGGGAGTGAGAGTGGGCGGAGACATGGTGCCTCTGTCCCGCCCACCGACACGCCCCCTGGGCACCTTCAGGTCCAGTGGCTCATCTAAGGACAGCATGACCGCATGCGGACCGGAGCCTGAAACCTTTACAGACAGACACAGAGAGCAATGTAGGTGAGAATTGAAACATACACACGAATCCTGACATTTGTTGCATAAGAGCAGTGAGCAGAGTTGTTGCATTCATAATACCATCATGATTTTCATGAATCCAGAAGTGCTCCATAAGTGTAGGTGTAATGGTTATCATTCAGATGGGAAGGTTGTTTTGTGGATTTTGGTGACAGTAAGTAGAGGCATCTCTACTTTTTAAATGTAGTATGTTTTAATGTCAGATATGAGCAAGTTAGGGATGCACTGATGACAACTCTCGGAAGAGTTTAGCATGGTAATGGCTAATAATGTTAATGTATTTGGTCTTGGCGGAATAGATCTGCTACTCTGCTGATATTGCTCTGCTGCACAGGACTTGCTACTGCCAATATATACACGACTCGCTGTAAGAAATGCTGTAGCATGTCTTACTTGTAACATAAATGCTGTTGCTGCCCAAATACTGCAGCATCTATGAAATCACCCGTAGCAGATCTATACAGGTGGAGCTGGGGAAGGTGGAGGGGTTTGGAGGAACTCTGAAGGCGTCCTGAAAACTGCTACAGAAACACTGACCAGCTATTTAAATGTTGAGCGACAAGCTCATTGGCTGCAGTTGCAACAGGAGCCAATCAGCTTGTGTCGTGTAGTTAACTGTGTAATTGTCAACAGGTTGCGTTAAGGATCTAATTTATAGAACATATTCAGCTCTGATCAACTGTCTGATCATCCAAATTTGTATTTGAAAATACATATTTTGATCATACACTAGCATTCAAAAGTCTGCGTCAGAAAGTTGTTGTTTTTTTATAAGAAATTCATACTTGTTTTCAGCCAGGATACGTTATATTGATCAAAAGTAACAGTAAAGACATGTATAATGTTACACAAGATTTCTGCTGTTCTTTTGAACTTTCTATTCATCAAAGAATCTAGTACCATAAAATCCCCTAAAAATACCAAATATTAAATAAAAAACATTTTCAAACTAAAATAAAGTTACGGAAGTGTATTGCATTCACTTGAGGAAAAAAATCTACTCTGTTTTTCTGAATTAACGAGTTAATTATCTCAGAATTACGAGAGAATTTTTCATGGAAAAAAGTTTTTGCTCTGTTTTTCTGAATTTACGAGTTAATTATCTCAGAATTACAGATAATTTTTCATGGAAAAAAAGTTTTAGCTCTGTTTTTCTGAATTAATGACTTAATTATCTAAAAATTATTAGTAACTCATTAATTCATAAAAACAGAGTGAAAAAAATTGTTTTTCAAGAAAAATGTATCTCATAATTTTGAGATATTAACTCGTTAATTCAGAAAAACAGAGTAGATTTTTTTTCCTCAAGTGAATGCAATACACTTCCGTATAAAGTACATTCATTTCATTGAAATAAAAAAATGATTTGGACATTTTTGACTGAGCACCAGAGGTTCAAATTGTAATAATATTTCATAATTTTACTGTAATTTTGATCAAATAAATGCAGCCTCGGTGAACATAAGAAACGACTCTAGTGTACTCTCTCTTGCTTAGAAGCAAAGTTCATTCTCTGTGTAATGTGCATACTATATACCGTAGTGCAGAAATAGTGTGAGTAGTATGATAATATACAGCTGCGTATAAACACACACACAAGTTTCACCAGAGACATTCATACTCTGCAAGAAAGTTTTGTCCCTCTTGCTCAATGTCTCTCTAAACACCACAAACACACATTCAGCCCCTCTAAAAAACCATCCCCGATCTCCTCACACATTACTTCCCCTCATTCCCCCCCACCTCAAACTGTCCTCACAAAGCACACTGGCAATTACACCCATTACCGCTTCCACATTCCTCCCGACTCCATGTGAAATACGACATTCACAAAGCTCCACCTTTAACCACAGTTTCACATCTCTTTTTGTCTGACATATATAACATGCGTCCAGTCATGCTGAATGGCTCTTTGAGAGGGTTTAGCTTGTGCCAACACGAGGAAGGTCAGCGAGGTCAAGGCAGCGGGTGACCGAGTTCAACAACCCGGCCGACAGGACCAATAATCAGCACACACACAGCAGCATTATCAACCAGATCTGTGTCTTCCGCCCCACACACACACTCGCACAACATCTTCTGACCCAGAACTGCGTCCTGAAATGATCTGTGTCCTCGGAAATGTTCTCAAATGCTCCATTTTTTGTTTTGGTCTTTGATGGCATGCCAAAGAAACAGACAGGCAACGACTTGCTCAGGGAAAAAAAGAAAGCGCTGATTGGTCACAGGAATAAACAGGTTGCGTCACGGCGTTAGGAGTTAATGTGCAATCTGTAGTATCTCCAGCCGTCTGGTGTTTTTTGCAAGCGTCCTGAAGCGGAGAGGTTACCCGTGCGGCGCTATCTCAGACGGGGGTGCGGTTAGAGATGTGATATGTGTGGCATGTTAAGGGTTTAGTTAATGATTTTCACATAATTGTGTCTCAATACGGCGGATGAAAACTCACTCTGAGTAGCTTGACTCTATGTACTCTGAGTTTCCAGTCAGAATCTAAAAACAGCATTTACAGCCCCACGATAACACACTTCTGAAGGAATCGGAACATTTAACAAGAAAAACGTGTTGGGAAGGGCTTGATTTAATCCGGTAGGGTTTGAAGTGTCTGTGTTTTTCAGGTGGTTGAACAATTAGAGGCATTGTGGACATTTAAGGTTAGGGATTTAAGGTTATGAAGGTGAACATTTATTACTAAATAACATGCACTGATGAATTGTGAACAATAGAACCAGGAATGTTATACAAATGTAAATAATTTCATTTTAAGGATGCATCCTAAATTGCTTATCATTGTATTTTTTTCTATTGAGCAGTTATGGTATTGAATATCATCCAATATTTAATTGTGTATGCTTGTTTCTGCCTATTTATATACTTCTATGTGGGTTTTTTTAATCATCTGATGCTCAAAGTTAATTTTAATAAGATACAAATAAATTAACGACAGTATTTGTAATCTTTATTTTTATTTGTAATCTATCAGGTCTCAAAAAGGAATATTTATCATACTTTCAGTTATAATACTGTGATATTTATTTATTTAAAATTATGGTAACACTTAGGTCCCGTTATTAATGTTAGTTGATGCTTTAGTTTACAAAGAGCAATACATTTTTCAGTATCTATTCATTTTTGTTAACATCATTTAATACTAATACAACTGTTCTTGTCAGCTCAGGTATATTATAAATCACATTAACAGACTTTTAATTTGAATAATGTATTAGTAGCCCAAATGTTGGAATTAACATTAGCTAAGATTAATGCATGCTTTAAAAATATTTATCATTGTTAGTTCCTATTAACTGAAGTAGTTAACTAATGTAATTATATATAACTAGGTGATTCAATAGGTGTCATCATCATACAGCCTACATACTGTACATGTCATACCCAAGTTTTATCTTCAAACCTGTTGCTAAATGAGTATATTCTGACATCGCCATTCTTCAGTACACTAAAAAATCATACAGAGATAACATTCACAATGAAAACTAATGTTCAATACCAACTACAGTAGCTTCCTCCATGATTCCTGAGCTCCCACACGGTTCCCAAAACAAAAGAGCTCCTCACACTGGATCCGGCTCCATGTGTGAACCATTACTAGTCCATGCCTAAGGCCATCTGCAATAAATCATCTCTTCCTTATTTTAATTATCCCCCTGAACCGTCCACGTCCGACCCCCCTCACGTTTCCGAGACTGCTCTGCAATGGTACGATCCGACCGTTTAAGGGAAGATTCTTGATGAGGAGGGGGAAGTGGTTTGGTTTTTCTGCTGAAAGGTACCAGGTGATAAATGGCTCTGAGGAATGGGACGGGTCGGGGTCGTGTATTTTTTTCACAGGCTGCAGATTTATAGTGCAGATTTATGTGCACGCCTGTCATACAGCTTCATAAACACCTAACAACATAAGTTCTTCATGCCTGGATCAGCCACATCCCAGCTGGGGTTAAAGATCAACTGGTTCGCTACACAAATGCAATCTTTTGTATAAGAAGGGATGATAAAAGCATTTCATCTGGCATATTTGTTTTTTTGAGACACACCTTTACCTGCATAAAAACATGTTAGACTAACAGTACTTCCCCCAAAAGTGGTCCAAACTAGTTTATCAGAGTCTGAACAAATTGGCTTAACATGCAGTGCAGCACAAGTGAATTATATGTTTGTTGTTTATGTATTTACAGTATTCTTCAACTGCAAAAAAAAAAAGAAGGAATTACAATAAGACTCTTTTTCTTTTCTTTTTTGGTAGTTATACGTTGCTATATGTACTTACTTACTATAGTAATAACAGTAAATTATGCATAATTACAAGTAACTGACCCTAAACCTAACCCTAACTCTATAGTAAGTACATATAGTTTATTAATATTACTCAGTACTTATTTGAGTAAGTATGTAACTATGTCAATCAAAATGAAGTGTAAGCGTACTTTTTTGTTTGTACACTTTTGTAAAAATATTAAAAATGTACTTTTACTAGCAGATTTTTTCCATTTTATACTTGTTTATATTTGGAGCAAGTGAAGGAAAAACAGAATAGAATAAAAATATTTTATCTGAAAAATAGGACAAAAATATTTGCCGTTTGAGGCATGTATTGAAGTTTGTCTGTACATTTTTAAATGGTTTTGAAAGATGTCTCTTATGCTCACCAAGACTGCATTTATCTGATCAAAAATACAGTAATAAATCAAACAAAAAACAGTAACTGTTTTCTATGTGAATACATAGTCAAATGTAATTTATTCCTGTGATCAAAGCTGAATTTTCAGCATCATTACTCCAGTCTTCAGTGTCACATGATCCTTCAGAAATCATAATATAATGATTTGATGCTCAAGAAACATTTTTCCAAACAGTGTTGAAAGAACAGCAATCTTTTGTAACATTTGCTGTCACTCCTGACCATTTCAATGCATTTCTCTTGTTGCAGAGTTCACTTTAAGTGTCATATAAAACTACATCCAAGTAAATAATGATTACAGAGGCTGTATTTGCCTTGATGAGAATGTATTGGCTGAACAAGTCGTCTAGCATTTAAAGAATTATCTCATTTAAATTGGCATAACAAATAGTTTGTTGAAGCATCATGTCGCCTTGACTTTGTTTCTCAGTGTCTCTCTTGCAGTGCACATGTGCTGACTGGAGAAGGTAAATATTAGCCTTAGATGCTACGCTATATCTTTCAAGCTTTATACATTGCAGGTTTTGTTATGTCTACATCATACATAAACACTGCATTTCTCTGTTCACCTCAGAAAACCTCCGAACTAACTCGAGAGTCGCAGGGAGACGGACGGGTTAACTTTGGCCGAGGAGGTTCAGTGGTGAGACGGAGCCAAGCGGTAGCGCTTGAATGTGAAGTTTTGGGAGAAGGTGTTGCTCTGCCCCATGCAGACTTCCCCACCCCACCGTGAGCTTGGCAGGGCTTTAAAAGGCAGCATTGTCTGTGTCCTGCCACCCCCTCGTTCCTCTCCCCTGCAGAGTAAACACTGAAGGAGAGCGTTTGGAGCGGGACACTGGGTTCCACATGGTGCGGCGCTGAATGAAATGTTTGTGCCTCCGCTGTGACCCCGGTGGCCACGGTCCTCGCGACCGGACCCCTTCGCCCCCCTACAGAAGTCACCAAATCTGCCATTTCCTGGGTAGGGGTGATGTGGGCAACGGATGGGGTCAGGATAAGGCAGGGTCAACGAGAGGGTATGGGTTTCACCGGCTCTCTGAGGTCAAACCTCTAATTAACCCAAGATTTCAGCCCGCCACAGGTCACAGCGCGCTCAGCGGGATCTATTTCTGCTTTCGGGTCAGGTCGAATGGACATTTTTGTGACTTAAGCACACTACAACTACATTACAAGTGGGAAGTTTTGTGTCAGAAGCTGTAATTGTGAATATAGAGTTCAGCTCAGCTCACTACAACTAAAAAAAAAAAAAAAAAAAAAACCTGTGATAAAGCTGGATTAAAATATAAATATTAAACGGAAAACCAAAACTTAAATTTAAAAGTTTAAAATTAGAAATGTCGGCTTGGCAACTAGTAAAACTTAAATATATATATATAAAAAAATAAATAAAAAAAAATAAATAAAAATGACAAGTATTAGAAGGAAAAACTTGGGAAAAAAAATGTTTCCATTGCAACAAACTTAAATAAATAGGTTTAAGTTGAAGTACTAAAATGACTAAAACTTAAAATTAAATATAAATTAAAGCGAAATATAAATATTAAAAAAAGTAATAAAAATGGCAAAGCACATAACAAAATTACCTAATATTAAAATGAAAACAAAATGTAAAAATAAAAGCTAATTCAAAATATTAATAAATACTGTGACCGTATATAAATAGTACTTAAAAATGACTGATTTAGCTTGTAACGTTTTTTATTTATTTAGCGAAGAGGTAGAGGTCTGCAATCCCGCGGGACACAACGCGACAGAGTCCGGCGCGGAACAATTTTGGATGTGGGAGGGAAGATACTAATATGTGGGAGAAATGAATGACTGGTGGGGTTATCTGATAATAACAGCACGCAAAAGTCTGTAAATGGAGATCTAAAGCATCGTGTGTGTGGAAATTGGAAAAAAATTCCTACAGACACTGGAAGGAGACCGAATCTGAACCGGACTGGGACTGAAAAATCAGCGTAGACCTCTTCTCCTTTTGTGGCCGGGAATGGTGCAAAACGTGAAACTTTTGGTTGGAAGCGGGATCAAATCTATATTTTTGGCGAAGGCGGGCGGGATCTTGTGGGAGAATATTGAAAAATCATTACCGCACTGACCTCTACGATGAGGTTATAAGCCTACGTGACCAAACTACATTTCCCATCATTCTCTGCGGCAATACGGATTGAATAATAAAGCACCAATTGTGCATTAAATGCACATCCTTTGCTCTTCGTTTTGTTGCATTAGTGCTATTGGCAAGCAAGTTCATTTGGTTCCAACCAAATTGCTCATCACGTTGTAATTGCAATTCAGATCTCATAACTATGAATTTCCCAGGAGGCCTTGCGCCTAGCTGATAGCTGTACTCATTGGTGAATGGTGGCTGGTGTGCGATTGTGTTTTAAGAGCCAGCTGTTGGGTGTGTGAGTGTGAGACGCATGTGTTTTTGAGCGCCAGTTCCTTTGTACTGAACTGTGGGTGTAATTCTATATCCCCAGCGCTCTGGCCCTGGGAGGTCGTCCGCAGGAGAGCTCTTTTACACACAAATCAGACATCGGCTCACAACCCGACATCCAAAAACCTTGAATGAGGTTTCTAATATCACAAAAACATGTAAAAACTTGTTAGAGCTACATTCTCTCATCACTGTCAAACAATACACAACAAAAACGGCCTTGCAGGTGGCCAGGGACCCCGGTTCACCCTCCCTCATGTATAGTACATAAAGATAG